AAGGGGTGGGGTAGATGGCCTAGGAATAGGCGTTGAGATTTCTTTCCTTAGGCGTTGGTAGACTCTTTGGTTAAAGATAATTTTTATTATTTGAAACTAGTAGCGGAAGGTGTTTTCAGTTGGTTTAATTCCAAAGCGAATTTTATAAGAAACTTGGTTTTAGACTATAGGGGTAAGTTGGCCGAAGATGTAGTATTCGACGAGAAAAGTAGGGGGTTTAAGAACCCGGACTTGTGTTTTTGCTATAGTATTTGCCCGAGGTGTGTTATTCCGGGCTAGGAAGTCTGCCTGGGGTAGAGATAGGATAGGGTCTATACGGTGTCTTGGCGGGGAACGCCGAAAATTTTGTCTACTAGGGGAACCGGTAGGGAGGTTTTTACCCGCAGTTAATACAACAACTAAGGCCTACGGCCTGGTGCAAGTTAGTCTGCAAAGTAAGTAGGCTGTGCTGATTCGTTTGATAGTATTTTCGAGGTTCTAGGGGCGCTGGTTATAGCGCTCCTATTAGTGCGAGAGGTGTCTGCATTTTAAAGTGTGTATTAAATTCATTAACAGTACGAGCGTCTGCTAGAGCGTGAAAGTGTCTCTTACACTCGTTGCGAAGCTCCTCAATATCATTACCTATAGCTTCGTCCTCCTCCTCGTCATGTGCCCAGGCTTTCTAAATCTTAATACCGACATTCTTAGCAATATGCCACATATATATCAGCTGCGAGACGTGCTCGTAGTGCTTGCGGAGGGCGTTCTTCAGTACCAACTCGCAGTCAGTAACGAAGACTCCAGGCTGCGTAATATAAGCGGCAAGTTACTTAATAGCCTATAAATATTCGACTTCGCCCTCCTTCGCTAGTAAGCAGAACCCAATAGAGAATGGGCGGCCTATAGGTGAGACTCCAATAATATAAAGCAGCGGGATGTCGTCCTTATTCGACTTATACGTGCAGTCTAGCATTATCACCTTACTCTAGCGCCTCTGTAGCTCGAGCGAGCGCTTATAGGCCTAAAACACAGTGTGGGCGTAGCTCTCTGCGTCAAGTTGATAGTTAACAACCCACTCGTCGTCCTGCATAAGCTCTCTCAACATCGCCTGCAGGCTTATAAGTCTATAGAGGCGCTGTCTCTTCACCTTCGTACGAAGGTTCTTAATATTAGAGTCAGTGATTAAGCATTCGGGGTCTTCATAAATCAGCTAGGCACGAATTTGCTTAGGGCGGCTAGCAACACTAAGCGCCTAAACCAGCTGCTGTTGTTTAATCGTCATTTTGCGATGCGAGGGGTGAGCCTTCGGGTCCTTAAAGGCCTTATAGTTATAAGGTTTCGTGGCATCAGCAGGTTCGAGCTGCTAAGTATCGTCGGGTAGCTTGCGGAGGACGAATTAAAAAGGGTAATCGAGCTTCCTCGTACCAGTCGCCTTAACGTGTGCCTAGGACTCGTAGGTGCCCGAGCGATCGCAGCCGACAGTGATCTTCTTCAAGATTTTAGAGCGCTTGGTGTAGTTGGATCTGTTTTTGCGAATAGCATAACTATAGGCCAGCCCGAAGGCCGTTGCAAAGTCGTAAGCAGTGTCAGCAGAGGGGTGATTGCCCTCAGGCGGAGCAGCAAGGTCGTAAGGCATTGTGAGGCCCTGCAGCAGCGTGCCCGGCGGGCGTAAGTGGGTGGGTGGGCGCGAAGAGGTGTTGTTGCGAGATGCACACGCGAAGACGTGACGTTGCGAAGTTGGCTTTCTGCCGGGCGCTTTACCCGATTAGGCAGGCGGTGGTGGAGGGGT